ATCACTGAGCAGTTCCATTATAAAGAATTGTTTCTGACCAACCCATCAAGCATCCAATTCCCACTAATTGGAGATGAGATGGGAAGGGTTATTTCGGAGAAAGCTAACCTCTAACCACCTGCACTCTCAGTAGGATGTTTGCTGGAAAGCTTGCTAATGAACTGGAGTGTTCAATTTACAAGTATGTAGAAGTAAATAGGCTTTGCTGGCAACGCTAAAGCCCAAAGTATATTTCACACAATAAATCTACACATGAAAGTTTCATTTTTGCAACATTAGTCAATACAGAACCATTGGAGTTTCCTAGATAATTGATTGATGCGAGTATTATGATCAAGGTTCAAGGTTCTGGCGTACTTGGATTGCCTTATTATCATATTCGCCAACAAACGACTGCACAAGCTCAGAAAACAGACGTTCCTTCATACAATCCTGGATCAAACTCATAATTGACTTTTTTAATAATAGATTGTGTCCAGTTTTTCATAACTTTGTACTGTTTTAACTAAAGGATGCCTATTAAAAAGCTGAACATTATTCTACTGGTTAATGTTGAGTTTTGACTTTCACTTCCTTAAGAAACCAACAAAATACTACGACAAAATAATTTGCAGTACTTTATTCCAAAGTTGGAATAAAGACGGCAGGAAGAAGTAACTTTACTGATAAGCACTGTTTGTAGGTATGCCATGAAAACATTTAATGATATACTGAACAAAAGGACCTTCACCCTATAGATGAAAGCTCAGCCTGACGATATATCATTTCTATTGAAAAGTACTGACAAGGTGTCATGGTCCCTGTGCCTCACCAGCTGATCCTGTATTAGGCAACATGTGTTTTTTCTCTCTCCCTCTCTCTCTCTCTCTCTCTCTCACCTGCCGGGGCGGTGCTCATTTTGGGCTCCCGCCCCTGGCCCACGCACCTGCTGCCTATCGGGATGATCACAAGGCCGATTTAAGACAGCAGCACTGTGCCACTCGTCGCTGGATCGTTGAGCTATCAGCGTCAGTCGCTCAGTAGTTTGTGAATCTGAATCTGTGAGATCGTTCCGTCTGTTCGCCTCTAACTGAAATTTCTGTGTACAGATCTTTCCCGGACCTTTCCCTGCCTGCCTGTCATCCCGTGGACGAGTGAGTGGATTGTGTTTACCCAGTGTGGGGAGTGAAGAGACAGAGAGCCTTTGGAGGGCGTCAGCTTCCCGTCTTTCCCCTCACATACCCCGGAACCCTGGACCCCCCTCCCCTCCCTCCAGCACGTTGTAAATAGCATCACCTGGTGTCATTGTGTAAATAAATTTGTAAACCCTGTAAAGAGTCCCGGTCTGCGCCTGAGTCCGTTAATTAAAACCTGACACAAGGGGTGGAAGAAACAATCGGTACTGTATATCTCACAATAATTTCTGCAGCAATACAGGGACACCAAATATTGATATTTTATTAAATAAATCAAAATACTGTGGGAATGCTATGAGTAAGAGGTCTCATCTAATGCACCACCATCCTGAGATAACGCTGGGTGAGTAAACTTACAGTATATTGAATCGAGTCTGAATGAGCCTTGGCCAATGAGTGTGACTCAAGGAGACTCGACTCAACTGTCTTAATGGGCTCAAATTGTATTCTGGTTATATATCTATAGAACAGGAAGACAGCTTACATATCTTTTGACATGTCTATCTAAAATCTCCAATCATTATACACTGGATTGAGATCTGATGATTTTGACACTAATCAAACCATTCAGTGACCCATATACCTAAAAAATGGGTGTAGTGTTATTCTAGGAGACCACTCCATTGGGATAAAAATGTCTTGTTGTCATAGGATAACGGTGATCACCCCAAAAAACGTTATTTTGATTTGCAGTGGCTTTTTCCCCTAAAGCTGGGGTATCAAACATAGGGCCCGGGGGCCAAAATCAGCCCGGCAAAGACCCCAAATCTGGCCCACTAGATTAGATTTTGAAAGAGGGCATACGTTTTGGACTTTTAACTGTATTTTTAAAGGTGGAACAGCTTTTGCTACTAATAAAGACCTTCCCCATGACCATTTGTATGACACAAAAGTAAATAAGTAATAGCTTAACACTGAAATGACAGGAAAGTTCCTGTTTTTCACTATCTACTATAGAAATTTCAGTTTTTTACAATGGGGCCACATAGAAAAAATGAATTTTTAGTGAATTAACAAAATGTTTCTATTTAATAATAATAATAGGTTATTCTGGCCAATGAACTACTAGAACTTTTTCTGTATAATAATATTAAGATGTCTCAGGTATCGGGTCAGGGATAGCTCAGTAGGTATAGTGGTGGCCCCATGATCAAAAGGTCGGGGGTTTGATTACAGCTAAGCAAGGTACCATCCATACACACTGCTCCTCGGGCTAAATGCAGAGAGGAATTTCCCAATGGGGATCAATAAAGTATACATTATGATTAAGTGTGTAGTTATACTTCTTTACACTTATCGAAAGGGGGAGTTTCACTGATCCAGCCCACTAGAGATCAAAGTGGGCTGTACGTGGCCCACAATGTAAAATGAGTTTGACATCCCTCCTCTAAGGGGACAAATGGACCCAAACCATGTCAGCAAAATGTCCCACACAGTAACATGACACTGGATTCTTTCAGTCTAGTTCAAGTGTTTTTTTCTTTTATATGTACACTATGCTGAAACTGCATACGTAAAAGATAGACAAAAGTATTGGACAACATCTAAAAAACTGTATTCGAGCATGGTACTGTAATAGAATACCATTCCTGCAACAAGTCAGTTTGTGAAATTTCTTTCCCCATAATAGAGAGTCCATGATCCCATGATGTTTCCTTGATGTAAGTGGTATTTTTACAAAGTGAAAACATTTTAGAACCACAACCACTCAGCCATGAACTAACGTAACATCACAGAGCGGGTCACTGAGTGCTAAGGCCCACAGTGCATAAAGGAAACCAGCGATCAGCTCCTATACCTGCACAGGTACAAACCTCCTGTGTTAAGGTTAGCATAAAAACTGTGCACCAGAAGCCTCGTGGCATGGGTTTCCATGGCTCCTGCAGGACTAATGTGTAGGTTTCCCAAGCTGTTGTCCATATGGTGTATTATGTAAAGAATACAGGCTGATCTCTATAGATATGTATCTTAATCAGAAATCTTAATTCCCAAAAAATGGGTCTAGACATCAGCCCAATAAATCTAGTATGAGCCAAACTATAAATCTAAGCTAACAAAAATATAGTGATTCGTAGTTACAAGTGATTGAATACTAATAATATATTACTATAATAATTATGAATACTAAATTAAAGTGCAAGTGTGATAAAGATCTTTGGTTTGAAGTTTAGCTTTAGTGCAATATATGATCATGCTAACCTTTGACAGAGAAGAGAGACTGATTATTATAGAAGAAGGTATTATTAGATTGCTGTATCCTCTTTTACAGTGAATGAAATATAAAACAGAGTTAAAAGAAAAAAATAACTAACTGGAAGAGACCTTATTTTCACTTAGCAAGCAGCCACCAAACAGCTAACAGACAGTTAGCTTGACTGTATATAGGGAGAATGTTTTCCAGGTAGAAAGCTGCATTATGCTAGCTAAGGGACAGTGCTTACCTTCTCTATGCTACATAGTAGGTGAGCATAACAGTTTCTTCTTTTCATTCTTCATCTCTACCTAAAACTGTTTTATGTGGCTTCAGAAGCATGCATCCATCCTAAAAGTTTGTGTACAGCACCAGCTTCCACCAACAAAGCTAGTGAGTAAACATGACTAGAACAAAACCTAGTTTAGATACTCCACTGACATTTCCATTCATTCTAAAGGAAACGATAAAGCCTTTCAGGTGAGACATTGCTGCTAATTCAGCTTTTTAGCAGTCTTTAGGAGGCATCATTTCCCATAACCCCCAGCGCTTTGTGACCTCAACGTCACAGCTCAACAGAAGAGTACAGGGATCACAGCTAGCTGACAAGTCCATAAAAAAGACTGAACACTTATAGGTTACTAGACAGCAGAGATTATATCAGCTAAAACAACAAGAGGATTACTAAGCATTTAAGATATGGACGAAATCAAATCACTATACTCTCCCTGACAATCTTCAGGTTTTTCTAATGAAACCGGAAGTTTTTTTCTGCCATCACTAAGTTTGAAATGCCAAAGATTGTATAAATTCAGAAATCTGCATCAAAATCAAAAAAATTGTTACATTGCATCTGATTTTAGAAGGCAAGAAAACGAAACATAAATCCCATTTGCTTTTGAATCTTGGATTTAAGGATCTTAGGTGGGTTTTTTCTAAAGGAAAATGATGCCTCATGTTGCATAAATCTGTTCGAACATGTGAGAGGAAGATGACGCGAAAGTCACACAACCGCATGATAGAAGTCATTCCTCCAGACGAGCAGTTTTGGCAGAAGAGACGAGCAAATTGTGAGACACACAGAGCATCTGAATCCAGCCTTTAGCCAGCCACTCTACGGAGGAGGAAGATAACATCAGCTAGTCTCTAATGACTCAGGCTCTGGACTGGACTCATCAGACCAACCATGTCCTTCTTTACAGCGGAAGCTCTGTAGGTTGCCGCCTGACAGATGACAGACAGCAATTGGTCTGTTTGTGTGTGTCTTAGAGACACAGAATGCTAAAATAAATATAAAAAATAAATCTAAACGTCTAAATGACGTGCCGTGTATTTCTGTTCCACTTAAGGTATTATGCAAATTGCATAATAATGGCTTGAGTCACACTTGCAAAAAATAATCACCATCGTGCGTGTTTATCTTTAATACCGCTGATTCATCTGAGGTGTAAAACTGAATTTCACAACAAACATGAGAAACACCGTCTCGATTGGAGATTGAGGCCAGAAAGGCGACTTGATGCTAAAGTGACGCAAAAGCAAATATTAGCTCGCATTTTTAGCAACTTAGGGCCAGTTCCGCATCGATGGGGTGGTATTGACCTGGTGGTTAAAGAGTAGCTGTTGGCACTCACCGGACGTCGTTTTGCTGCGGGGGTTTCTTCTGTCCAACCAGGTTCACTGTTCTGGCTTGGATAGGCTTTTCTTCTCTGAAAAACACAAAGTTAGAAAAGTGCAGTTAGTCCAGCGTTTTGCTATGATTTTGTTTGATTTATGTGCTTCGTCCTTCTAACATTGAACAAGTCACCAGTGACAGCCTTGGGGTAAAGGCTAGGGTTAAGTTCACGTCTATCCCTTTATAACTTCTACAAGGCATCTGCCCTGAATCCTACTGTCTGACAAAGCATGGCAGACCTGTCTTAATGTTTCTCTCCTATAAGCTGAAACATCTAAGCATAACAATTAGTCCAGAATTCAGTTACATATTGGTTCATTTTGGTACATTACATGCTAGCTTGTAATGTCAATAATTATCTTGTTATCTACATAAATATCTACATAAAACTTTGTGTCCTGGCATTGTTTTCTCAGTCCTTATTCAATTTTCATCCATCCGCTTCCACTTATCCTTTTCTGGAGCCTATCCCAGCTGTCATAGGACGAGAGGCGGGGTATACCCTGGACAGGTCGCCAGTCTGTCGCAGAAAACCATTCGCGTTCACACTCACACCTATGGGCAATTTGGATTAACCAATTAACCTATCCCCACAAACTGCATGTCTTTGGACTGTGGGAGGAAGCCGGAGTACCTGGAGGGAACGCACGCAAACATGGGGAGAACATGCAAACTCCACACAGAAAGACCCCGGCCTGATGGCGGAACTGAACTCAGGACCTTCTTGCTGTGCGGCAATAGTGCTAACCACGGTGCCACCGTGCTGTCCCTTATTCAATTTTATTTTTTCAATTTTACTTGTTCAGTTTTAGCAGAAATCTGCTTGAAACAGGTTCGAATCAACACTTTTTATCTTGGGAACAATCGGGATACCGCTAGGCATCGATGACGGGCCTTAGACAACACTGACATGCTTTCAGTATGTCCACTGACACATCCACAGTGTGATTCAAAACCATCTCATCCATAAACATGAACAGCAGGCTCTGATCAGTCTGATCATAGAGGGAACTCAAGAGAGAATTCCCCGCCAACACCCACGCTGTCTAAAACAGAAGACGTTTCTTTTTATTGTCAATACCGTGGGTACCCTGCTCGTTCATTATGAGACATTTTTGGCACATCAGGAATCGAGATATCTCTTCTACTGACAGTTTAAGTGCTTATACACTGACAGTAAAGGTAGTTTCGAGAACCTTGGGTTACCCCGATGTATAATATGACAATTCTTTCAAAAAAGGGGGTAAAAAAAAGTACTGTTTTACTTTGTACGTGGTACAAAACTCATAGCGAAACATCCTTGGGTTGTGTAATCCATCATAGCAAGCATCAAGGCTGAATATTTCATGTTAAAGATTTCACTGTGTTAGCGTAAAATCACAGCCTAATATTTGGTACAGTAATAGATTCAATATTATATGAAACTACAACTTATTTGTCAATCATACAAAAGGCAAAGTTCAGCATCCTCATAGCCTACATGACGGTTAGAACTACTAAGCTGTATCTTAGGCACAGGCTAAACAAGCACATCTTCAGAAGCTAGAAGATGTGTTTCTAGAAGGTGTTACAGTTCAAATAAACTCTCATATATGCACGGTTCCTCTGTTAAAGGCGTACATATGCCAGACAAGCAGAAATTCCATAAGAGGTGCTTGTCTAACTAACTCTAACCAGGTCAGCAGTCAAATTTGAGCACATATCACATATGTATAGTACAAAAGATTCTTTATCTATTTGAGCTTCTGGTATTTCCTCTGTGTTTTGTCTTCAAGGTGAGACAAGTAACACATGGAACCCTCTATAAAAATAGAAAAATAAGTTATCAATGTGAGGAACCTTTATCATACAGTACTTCAACATTGTACACCCATCAGGCAATGGTTCTAGGATTTGAGTTAAGTTGATATTTTTTTCTGTTTGGAGCAGCCAAAGTCCTCCCATAGTCTGGTGACTTGTCAGGAGTGTACCCCAGGTCTTGCCCAATCACAGCTAGAACTGGCAACTCTGAATTGGACAATGTTTGAGAAAATGGATGGATGGAACAGTGAAATGAAAAAGCTTCTAGAAGAAAAACTGTAATACCAAAATAGAAGTATGAGACTTTGAAGCCAACAATAACTCTACACCTAGACGGGTCACCAGCAACCCCGTTTTAATGGGTAATGGCCATGGAGTTTCTGCTTAACACTGGATAAAATGCACACATTTGTACTATTATGACATGCCTTTATATTGAATTTAAACCAGAGTGTGGCCAGAGACACCACTCATCGATTATTGAAATTATTATTGCTTTCGATTTCCATTTTTCTACCTCAGATCATTGAAAGCAGAATACAAATCATGCCCATTATTGCTGTGGCTTTAAAGTGAGGTTTGCACGCATGCACTGTGAACATATGCGCATTAATAGAAAGTAAACTGATGTGAGTATATCTTAAACAGCTCGTAAGTGGAGCGTATTCTCTGCCTCTGTTCATTACAGCCCACACTTCCCTACTCCTGGTACACTTAGCACGCATGTATTAGTCAACCAACCAGTGCAGCTTTTCAGTGCAGACCCATTCGTACGAACATACACACACAAACACACACACACACACACACACACACACACACACACTGCTTTGCTAACTCAATCCAAACACTGGTGAGAGGAAACAGTGCTGAAGCCTATATAGGCTTGGACATGTGTGTGCTGACAGCCTTATCCGCAGCTTCCTCACTATGACATGAGTGAATCCACAGCTCTTTAATACATCACTGAAAATGATGCATAACCACTTAGGGCCGCAGCTATATACTGGACATTTCCTTCTTTAGAAGCAATGAATCGATCTTCCGTTCCAGTGCTGGGCCATCGTTCTGCACAGAGGGCTTAAAATAGAACAGGGACGTAAAGCTTGAGGAGCGCCTCTCTTAGGTGGGTCGTTCTGCCTTTCTTTGTACATGCATGCGTGCGGCTCCCGTGCATAACGTGCAGAAAACATGAGAAAGGCGTCGCTTAAACTTGATGCATTTTCTGGTCCTGGGGGTGGGGGGTAAGGAGTGTGGGGGATGGTGGAGGGGGGGTGAACATATAGGTTCGTTCCTGCGCCGATTGCTGCAACAAACTGGAGCAGACTTTTCTCCATTTAATGTGGGAGAGAAGAGGTAGGATACACACAGCGATGTAAGTCACTCTTGATTCAAAATAACATGACACAGGCACCTTTTCCTTCCCTGCTAGAGGCCCACTGTTTCTTTAACAGCCTGTGTGATGTCTGCTGCAAGAGCACTGGCCTACATACAGTGCATAAGGCTGGGAAAGGCTCAACCGCACCCCAGAGCTGAGAACAGCAGCTGTTGAGATGGATGCTGCACAGATAAAAGCCAACAGGGAGGGCTTTACTATTCTCAGCGCCAGGCTTCACTGAGCCTCCTGCAATTTCCTGCTGAAATATTTCAGGGGAAGTACAAATACTTTCCACCTGACTCGGGCAGTGGCGTTGGGTGATGATGACAATCTCAAGGAAAGAAGTGCAGAAGAGAAATGTGTATGATTCATCTGGGAGGATGCTGCTGCTGCTGCTGGGTGACACACCCCTTCCCTTCTTCTTCTTCCCTCCCCTAACAAGTTACACCTGAGCCCTCACATCCAGCGGGCCTGCCCACAGGAGCGTTCCAAATCTGTGAACTGGACATGCATGGACTAAAGCCTATGAGGTTCCTCCGGCACAGAGCTGCAGGCTACGTGGGCCTGTGAGTGAGTGTGTGGAGGGACACACATACACACATGCATACATGATCACATACAGTGGAGTCCTGCAGCACGGTCCTGCAGCTGTCACATTGTGTCCATACAGAGCAGACTTTCATGGACTTCAGAATGGAAACTGCCCAGGTCTAGTCTTCCTCTCTCTCTCTCTCTCTCTTTCTCTCTCACACACACACACACACACACACACACACACACACACACACACACACACTATCTTTTTGCTTTCCCTCTCTTACTTTAACATGGCCTCCTCTTTCGCCTCTTCCTCCCGCTGCCGAGCCAGCACAGCCATGATGATCTTCCTCTCGTCCTCCGTCAGGTGACTGAGGTCCGGCTCCGGGATGGCCGGGGCGACGGGTGGGCGCGGGCCGCCCCGAGGGCCCACCGAGGCAAACATCTTCCCCGCCGCCGCCGCCACCACCACCACCACCTTGCCCCCTTCCTCTTCCCTCTCTCCCACCTCCTCCTCTTCCTCCTCCTCTTCCCTCCTAGCCTCGGTCGGGATCACGGATAGAAAACCCGCTGGCGGAGCCCACGGATCACGACATGGCCCACGGACAAAGCGGCGGTTGGAGCATCTGATGCGGTGTTCCCATGACGGTGGCGGGGGGCACCCAGGGCGGCGGCGGCAGCGGCAGCGGGCTCGGCGCTAGCTGCGGTAGTAGTAGTAGTAGTAGTAGAGGTGGTGGTGGTGGTAGCGGTGGATGTGGCGCTTTGGTTCCCGGTTTTAGCCGCTCCTTCTCCCTCTTGCTGCTCCGCTGTCTTCTCCCCCCTCCCACCGCCCGCCCGCCCGCCTCTCCCCTCCACCGCCTCCGTTTCACGGGGAGCCCATGTCTCCGGCGGTCGCTCGCTCGCTCGCTCGGGATGATGACTCGCGGGAGGAGGACCTCTTTTCCTTCCTTCAGGCCGGGCAGAGAGGAGGAGGAGGTGGAGGAGGAGGGGGGGGCGGGGGGGGGTGGGGGTCCCCCAAAGGCGGCTCAGGTCTTCGCTCGGTGAGCCGGGGCCGGCTGTTTGGCTGCGGGGCGAGGCGGCGACTTCTTGTTTTCCAGCGCCGCCGCTGATGCTGCTGTCAGGGAGACGAAACAGTCAATGGGACCGCAGCCCCTCGAGCGCGTTCACTCCTCTTACGGCGGGAGTGCGCAGCCCTCATTTGAGAATGGGGGCTCCACTCACCGTTAAGATGCGCGCTCACGGCTGTCTATAGCACACACGGGAAATAACGGGTTCCTTTAAGGGTCCACTGTGCGGGTTTAACGCCGCGTGACTGCATCCAAACACGAATCCTTTTATTCGTAGCGTTGTGTTTTAAAACAAAAAGTCCTGGTGTATTTTTCACTACATACCGGTTCATAATCATAATTAAAATGTGGGAGAAAAAACAAGGTAGCTTCGGGATATTTTGAAGGAAACTATCTAAAAAAGTGAGTCGAGGTTGGGGCTATCTTACGCTTATTACACTATTATTACATATTACTATAAAATTATATGTAGCTCTTAATTTATTCTTGTTGTCTGTTTCAAGAGTTTAAACCACATTTAGACTTAATTAGGATACATTTTATATTTCATTAAGGAGCTTTAACTGAGGGTCAAAAAACTGAGGATCCAGAACACAGCTATTTTCCTGTGGACCCCCATACAACCAGACTTCTTTCCCACCAAATGAGTTGCCCGCTTACAGCTTACACCAAGGGACTTCAGCAAAGATACAATTGTATTACAATGCATGCAGGCAGAAATATGTTTTTTTAAACGATGTTTATGATATAATAACTGCTTTACAGTAGCATGTTAATCATGTTTGGATCTTCAAGTAAACAATGAGAGCTATTTACACCTTCCATGGCTCCAAATCTAAGCGATGCTGTTTCTTCCATTGTTATTTCCAGGCTTTCTCATACAGAACAGAAAAGAAAAAATACAGTGACAGAAAGATTATGAATCAAAATTCTTATATAAAGGGAGAAATCTAAAACACACAGGCTGGATTTAAATGAATGAATGCAGGGCTAAAGAACCCTTTTCTAGCACTGCAGGAAACCCTTTGCAGTAAGAGTGCAGGGACTCTCCTCCTCCTCTCCCACCAATGATTGCGTGTTAGGATGACGCGAATCTCTCTTTTTTCTCCCTCCTTCCTTCCTCTCTCTCTCTCCTTTCTTTCCTCCTTGTCTACCCTTCTAGCAACCCTTACTCCCACTACACACAGTACTTCCCCATGCTGAAAAACACTCAGAAGGGAGGGTGAGGTTTACCACATATGTACGCTTATAAGGTGACATTTACAGTATGTCAGTATGCAACCCTCTAATTACAGAATGTGTGGTCTGCCGAAACTGTCCTATTCATATACGGGAGATAAACCACAAATGGGGACTGTAGATCCCACAAACTGTGTGAGACAAGATAGTGTGTTACAGTGATCTAAATATAGAAACACATCTTGTCTATTTTTAGCCAGAAATGCAGATTTGGCAAGAAAAAAAAGAATATATTTCGCTTTATTATTAAGCATATTTTTATTCCGAAATAAACAAAGTTCCATAAGTTCCTCATTAAGTTCCTCTCAAAGACCTCTGCATGTTGCTTTGTAAACCTCAGGAGCTCAGACCTCACTGTAAACTCAGTTTCTGTTTCAGCACCACGGTCAGCACACTGGTGGCCTGTTGCTGTTAGTTGAGAGCCAGTAGCACGCTGACACACGAGACACCAAAAACATGCCCGCCTTAGCCTAAAGTGACTGTCAAATAATGTTTTTGTAAATTATTGTTGGAGACTAACTGTACAGTTCATCCAGCCACACCTGTCTCACATAAAACTCTGAGTTTAATGTAGTACGGTTACACTGAGGGCTGGACCCTCACTGAGTGGAAGATCCACAGGACACACCCTCTAATAGTACCTTATCAATATCTAGGCCGTCATCTTTTGGACTTTAAAGTAAAAGCCCTTTGAATTTTCCTTTTTGAGTTAGTCTTTCAACAACTTCAGAATTCTGTAAAAAAGAAAATTCCTGTTTCCACAGGCTGATTGCAATCCATAGAAAAGTTAACACCCTCACAGGGGTATTATGTCAATGTCAAGTCAATCTGATATTTAATTTCAAAGTATAAGCCCAACTTCAGCATGGATAATGCAATAATTTAAACACAACATACTATAGCAATGAAAATCATTTTCCTATTTTTGTATATTGTTACTGTGTTGGTCTTCCAGTTCATCCAGTTTTCAGCATGGACACCCAGATAGACACCATGCTCTCATCCTGTCCTTTATCGTCCTTTATCACACATGATGGCAGTTGGTTGATAGCTCTTAAACACTGATGGTGTTGACTTCATCAATACAGGAACCAGACAAAATATGTTCCATAACAGCAGTGTCTTCTCCTGCTTCAGAAACAGGTTGTAAATGTTACTCAAGATGACAGACAACTACAGTTGCTTGCAAAAGTATTTGGCCCCCTTGAACTTTTCCACATTTTGTCACATTACAGCCACAAACATGAATCACTTTTTTGGAATTCCACGTGAAAGACCAACACAAAGTGGTGCACACGTGAGAATGGAACGAAAATCATACATGATTCCAAAATTTTTTTACAAATAAATAACTGAAAAGTGGGGTGTGCGTAATTATTCAGCCCCCTGAGTCAATACTTTGTAGAAACACCTTTTGCTGCAATTACAGCTGCCAGTGTTTTAGGGTCTGTCTCTACCAGCTTTGCACATCTAGAGACTGAAATCTTTGCCCATTCTTCTTTGCAAAACAGCTCCAGCTCAGTCAGATTAGATGGACAGCGTTTGCGAACAGCAGTTTTCAGATCTTGTGACAAAATGTGGAAAAGTTCAAGGGGCCCAGTACTTTTGCAAGAAACTGTAGGTGAGTCAGCAGAGCCCTGTGGTTGATACCACCATAACCTGTAGCCTTCCTTGCAGGTTTAAAGCCACAAAGTTTACTCAGGGAATAATCAAAGACATTAGTGATGTTTGGAGGCCAGAGTGTGGGGTGGAAGAGCCAGTAGAGTTACAAACTGAACCAGATGAAAAAATTGTTCACCTCATTTGCTCTTTTCAGGCTGCTGACTGACTGCCTCTCACCTTAGTCACAGTAATTATCTTCATTCCTTTCCACACATCCTTCATGCTTTTTAACTGCCAATTGAGCTCCAGTCTTCTGTTGTATCAGTTGTTAAATTTCAGTACCTTTACCCTTAAATATGTTTGATACTCATCAGTTCTTCCCTGTCACATGACCTGAGTGCTTTTGATATTAAATATATCAGAAGGTTTTCATTTTGAAATACAAAATCAGAATCATTTAATTATGACTGAATCAAATCATAAAAGGTGAAGTAAAATCAAGTTGAAATTGCTAGTATCTTATAATTCATAGTAATATCATTCTGAATAAAGAAACCAAACTGCATATAAAAACATTTACAAAGGGAATTATTTTTAAATCCAAGACCAGAAAGACTTGATTTTGACAGTGTGCAGCTTTGAGGCAGTATGTTATGGATTTAAAGTGGAATTATTCCATAAGAACAGGGATTTTCCTTTTAACAGCATTCTGAAGTCACTGAAAAGTAAGGTCACACAAACAAAGTCAAAGAGCATTTACTCTGAAATGCAAAATCAGACTGACTTCATATTGACATGGTACCACTATAAGGACTTGTATGGTTGACATGAACTCAACGTATTGTAGAAACAGTAATTTTTCTTTTAACAGCACCCTTACTTAATTTTTTTTAAAAAAAGCTCATATCCAAGAAAATTCAAAGGGGTTTTACTCTGAAATGCCACCGGGAGGGTCTATAGTGTCAACATATACTGCAATTAACCTGTGGAAACAGCAATTAACCTTTTAACAGTGTCCTCAATTCATTTGAGAAGTTGTGCATATACAGGCAAATTCAAAGGGCTCTTACTTTGAAATGCACAACCAGACTTACTTGACACGGACATGGTAGCCCTGTGAGGGTGTATACTGTTGTTTTAGAGTGAAATTAGAATTTTCCTTTTTTACAGCATTCTGAAATTCTCGAAAGAGTAGCTCAGAAAGGAAAGTTCAGAGGGCTTTTACTTTGAAATCCAAAAAAGGACTGCCTTGATATTGGCTAAGGTACTACTAGAGTACTGGGTGTATCCTGTGGATCCAGCATTAAAGTGTGAAAACAACACTAACTAATATTTGTTATTATGGACTGAATGTGTTAATGTTGAAGCTGAATTCAAACAAAGTTGGCTTTTGTTTTGAAATCAGGTCTCCACATCTCTAAGGAGTCATTTTTTATTATTTTGAAAGCGTCAATTTCGTATACCGGAAGTACTCCTGCTTCTTCTGAACTTGATACTTTAAGGCGCAGACGCGTGTGTGTTTGGATCTGTGTGCTGCGTGGTAAGTCAGCATATGTTTTTATGCTTACTTTCATGTCATCATACGTTCACGTTTTTCATACGTTGGCGGTGAAAAACCCGCGTGTCCGGTAGCGTGACGGAACAGTGAGGATTAGTTTGAGTGCACCGAGAATGATTTTCAGATTAGAATTTAAGAGACGTTGAATTTTATATAGGCTACCATGAAGCTTGCTGGTTTGCTGTTACACTGTTAGACAAACTGACCCTCTTTGCCTTCGCTTTTCAGTTACCATATTTCGGTAACTAAATATTCAAATATTCCCTGTAACTAGAGCAGAGCCGGGTGCCTTCGTTACGGAGTAGTGATGTCGATCCTGAAATATCGATTCCTCCGATACCAATCATTTATGTTCTAGAATCGATTCT